GCTATGTCCTGAAAATAGCTGGGTTCAGCTTGATTTGTGGAGAGTCCATCGGATAATATCGGGCAGGTGTGAGATGAGCTTTAAGTTAAGAACGATGTCGTACCGAAGTTCATGTTCGCATCGGAAAACGTAGTGGGCCGATCGCACTATGGGGCATTTTCATACAACCAGGCGGTCAAAAATATTTCTATCATTTTTTCACAATTTCTGCTATTATTCTTGCTTTGTTTCATCAATATAAGGTATGCGTTATCACTTTTCAACACGACCAACTCTTGAAAAGGGCCTAACTTTTGATTAATTAAAATTTAATTTTTACGATTTTATAACGGTTACAGTTTCAGTTACAATATAATCATGAACAATTTCTTCTTCAATTTCATCGACTGCTTTCATAAGTTCCTCCAAGGCATTGAAGTTATTAGTATCGACTACTGAATCACTTACAGAATTTTCAAATATCATGAAACTTTTCACGATGTCGGGATAATCCAGGGATACTTTTTTCTGTCGTCTTTTTGCCATCTAAATGGAACTGATCAGTGGGTCCGATTCATTAATGGCACGAATAAAGACATCATGTAAATTTTCTACTCTTGCGTTTTCTTGCATGATGGGTTCGATATTTTTTCAATTGTTTATGTTGACTTTCTGCTGCCTCTTCCGCTAATGAACCAAGTGGTGCTGGTGAATGTATGATTATTTCTCCGGCATGAGCGAGAACTTTATGCACGGTTGCAGGAATTTTGTACCAATCATACAATTTAAGATAGAGCCTCTATGTTTCCTTGCAATATGCATCAAATTTTTCCGGGTTTATTGGCTCTTGGCAGTTAATAGCAATTAATATATTCCGGAATCTGAAAATTAGCTCTTCATCAATGTTCAGCACGGACCTTAAAAGCTTGGGATTTCCAAATGCTCTTCGACAAACGTTTCCTGTAGTACTGGTACCTGCTCCACCCGATCGTGGTTGATCTACTCTTACTCCAAATTTTTCGTAAAGCTGTGTAGTCACATGTTTTTTTCTTTGTTCATATAGTTCTTTGAACGGTTTCGTTACCTTCCATTTTTTTGATATCCATTCTGTATGCAATATGCAAAAGGCATTCGAAAAATCTTATCCAAGCATGAAGTGGAGATATGCCGTAATGCAAGGCTTCTTCGTTTGATATAAATCCTTCCTCGAATTTCTCTGCATCATTCATTACATTTGGTGTTGCCCCACATATTGGACAATTCTGCATCGACGAATTTCCAGTGATATAAGTTAAGACTTTTCCGTCTATCATACTGAGGACAAAATCAAAATCAACAAGTATAAACTTGTCGTTTGAGAGTTCAATTTTCACTGGCGTTAGTTCACTCATTTCTTTTCTACATCCTGTTTTGTAGCCAGAATAACTTCTTTACTCTTTTTAATGAATTCAAGGATGAATGGCCTACAAAATCGAATACTTTGAGGCATGGGATTAAACCACATAATTTCCTTTCGATCATTGTACATGAACAACTGAATTGGTGTTAAAGTGGACGAAAATACATCTGAATCGTCCTGACATCCTTCTGGTAGCACTTGATGATATTGCGAATATCCAGTTGATCCGTCCATACTCGTTGAGCTCTGCATCAATTATTTGGACGATTCGTTTCACTGTATTTTCCATCAGCGTCTGGAGTTTCATTTTTCAATGCACTTTCTTCGATGAATTCACTAGGAGGGGCGCATATTTTTTTCACTGCTCCGATCACATAGTAAGGTGGAAATCTTGAAGGTGATTCACTATGTATTACTTCGTATTGAAATCTACTCAATCCAGCCTCGATAAGTACACTAAAAGCCTTTTCTGGTGACATCATTCCTCGTTGATCAGTTAGTTGAGCCAGTATGGTTTTAGACCTTTTTTGGTTTTTTAAAATATGCCCAATAACTTTAACTAAATTAAAATCCTTTCGATTATAAGCGGTCCGTCTTGCAAATAACAAAGCTTTCTCGATGGTATCGAATTTTGGATCAACTGCTTCTTTATCGATGACGCGACGTTTTCCTCTTTCACTCAAATCCAAGAAAGGTTTTGAAGGTCGTCCACGTTTTGTTCCCGAGGCCGAGGTTGAGGCAACACATTGCTCCTGTTCGATGAATTCCTCGATGCTAAATTCTCCATCAAGCCAATTCCGAAAATACGACTCAAATCGCTCTTTCGTGCGATTAGCTTCATGCCATTTGTTGATGTATTTAGTAACGATTTTATGGATCTTTTCATCGAGACGTTTACGTTTTTCCACCGAGATGTTATAATTTTCACAAATGAATTCAATGGCTCTGTGAACATTGTCACTATGGCTTAATTTTGCGTCTAATAGATTAATAATGGTTCTATTATCCATGCTCACACTTGATCTCAACCGTAAATTTGAATTACACTGTAGTAGTTTAAATAAAAGCTACACAAAATACACTATGGCTTCAAATTGACACTACAGTAGGATAAGTACAGACTTAGGTATAAATTAAACTCATCCGCGCATATGCGTAGGTACATACTTACGCATATGCTTCTATCATCGTTATAACCCAGGTACTTACTTTAGAATAAAGCATAAACGAATGTAGTTTTACGTTCATCCAACAGTGAACTTTATGATAATGATGACTTCTTTTGTACAAAAGCTTAAGCCCTTTTTAAAAGTTGGTCATGAAATATTAGAAAATGTTCTTTAACAATATATTTCGACTATACTAACCGAATATAACTCCAAAAGTTGCAAAATAATTGTTGAAAAAGTTTGTTTCCAAGCCGGCTCTTGTACAATTTGAAATCTCCCATAATAACCGAAAATTTTCAAATCGCTTATATTTCCAATGGGGCAGGTTGGGGCAGGCAAACTCTTCAGTACTTGTTTGAGTACACTCAAAACTTCGTCCAGAGCTGAGAATTAGCCTGGGAATGTGCGAGACTCGAAAGACACAAGATCAATAAAGTTAAATTTTCATTAATTTTCAATTATTTTTTTTTCTATTTTTATTTTTAAATTTTTTTGTCTCCATCAAATTTCCAAATGGATTTTATTTTCGGAAAGCTTATTAAATTACCTTTCCAACGATGTATAATGATGTGGTAGTAATATGATAAATATTGGATGAAATTTTATTTGAGTGGTAGTGTATTTTTGCGGCAAAATTTGTACTTTTCTTACTCTTTTTTGACTTTGACATCCGATATCTCAGAAACTAAAACTGCTAGAAGCTTGAAACTTTCAGATTCTCTTAGTTGAAATGTTTACTATCGACCAAAAATAACGAAATAAGGATTAGTGAAAGTCGATTTTTTGATTTTTGACCGCCTGATATCTGATAGTGGCGATCTCCTGAGCAACTTGCAGCAGCAGTATTTTCAACGGTAGGAGGTGGATCCTTCTGACTCGGATAGAACAATCGGTCCTTCTCAGGACCACCATTTTTTACAAAAAAAGCGTTATGTTCCTGGAATGAATCGGCGGTATTGACCAATTTTCAGTGACACTACAATATTATTTCCCATTTGGCTCCCGTCAAAGAAACGTGGAAAATGTAATTTTTATAAAACACCCTCCCCTCTCGCACCCCCTATAACGACAAACTAAAAAATCATTAAATCATTCATGGACGTTGTCGTTCACTTTTTTGCTGGAAACTATTGCTAAACAAACTACAAATAAATAAATAAAGTTGTATTCCGTTAATTTTTTAAAATCAAATTTGACAGAGAAATTTCTCTCTCAGGAGTATTTCATGTATTTTTAGATTTATGATTAAAAAAAAAAGTGAATCTGACACTGTAAAATATGACTGGTACCTCTATATGTCTTCTTCTTCCTCCTCGAATGTAAAGCTCATTGCGTATCGCATATAAGCTTATTGCATGCTCTCAACTTAGTGCTCTAGAATCTAATTAATTAATTAATTTATCTTTATTAGGGAGGCTTTCAGCCTGGGACTGGTTCGCCTCCAAACTCTAGAATCTAGAGTCTAGATGCACTTTCACAGTTATTAATTGAGAGTTTTCGATGCCTGTACCATTTTTGGCATTCGTATAATTGTGCGGCCAGGTTGAGAAATCAAACAACTCGCAAAATACCTAGACCGGGTTGGGAATCGAAACCAGCCACCTCCAGCATGGTTTGTAGCTGCGCCTCTTTATATAGATTTACAGTCAAAGTCTCTCCTTTATTACATACACTGAAGTCTTTTTTTACACGGTTTTTTTTTACGCGGTTTTTTTTTTACACGGTTTTTTTACACGGTTTTCCACGATTTACACGGTACGTTTTTAACGATTTCTCGACAACGATACAACCTATCGACTTGCTTCCAATCACATTATCCGTTTCAAGCTATAGGTAATCGAATGGCATACTTAAAAAAAATCACAATTTTTGGTGTAAATACAGAAATTTTTAAAATATATCTATATGGACCATATCATGCTTTAATTACAAATGGCATCAAAATCCGATTTTTCAAAAACATTTAAACATGCGAAAAATCAAAATCTCGTAGGTTTTTTTACACGGTTTTTTTTACACGGTACGTATCCCCCGTGTAAAAAAAGACCTGAGTGTACTCTTCACAAACGATCGTTTGTCAGAAAACGTGCAGCTAATCTTGATACCCGATACCCGATACCCGATCCAAGTTGAAACTGAGTGATAAATGAATTCGCTATGAGTGAGTGGAAACGTCATCAAATCATCAACTAATATATATTAGTCTTCTTTATTATCGAGACTTTCAGCCGTGGGCTGGTTCGTCTCTTACCGACTGGAGGTTCCGGAAGGGAGCCCCCTCAATCAATTAATATAATCATATCACTTAAGCTCTCAAGTTTTCGCATAGGCAAAACTGACTCTACCCAATCGTCTAGAGAGACCATCTTCAAGCGCTAGCTAGTCAGCGTTTGTCTCCTCTCCGGAACATATCGATCTAACATGACCGTTTCTTTCACTCTGTACACCCGCAGGTCGGAATGGTACCACACACCTGGTGGTACCACGCCAAACGTCGCTTACCTCTCAATCAGATGTCGTAGACGATCGCAAGGCACTACGGGACGCGCTGTACCAGGGCATCTTTCACCGGCACCGGCGGACAATCTTCGCCGTCGGGAGCTTCCTCCGAATGCTGAAGAGTCGCAACTCATCCTACAATACCATTCGTAGCTCGTCCGAAGGTGAGGACGATACGCGATAAAGCCAACAACAACAACAACAACAACCGAACAAACACGAACATAGTCCCGACGGTGAAACTGATTAAATATCACGGTAAGATCGGGACAACCACGGAATATTCAATACAGGTAAACTTATGATCGAAGCGAGCCTGATGGTGGACATAAGGTTCACCGAATACATTAGACACGGAGACACTTGTTATTGTGAGAGAGTAAGCTTAGAGAATAGTAATGATAACGGAGAGGTGGTTTGTCTACACACATTTGGGTACATATTATAGCGCTAGAGAAGGAGGCAGCCATGAGTATGTAGGTGTTTTGTAATGTTTAGCTGATTAGTTGCGGGGAAGACACGCTGCAATGATTTATATGGTTAGGATCCAGGATCAAATGGTAGGACCAGTTAGTAGAACGCGAAAGCAAACGAGTGGGCGTATTATAGTATTTTTGCAACACGCATAAGTAATTCTCAAATTCCGTTTCTGCTGAAATTATGATCAAATTGATTAATGTTATCTGATTAGCATTTGGTTCGAATTTCCAACATAATTTTTCTCCTCAAATGCGACCAATATCAGGTCCCATCTAGGCAACCAACCAAAAATGACACGTAACTTCAAACGAAACATACCTAGTTGATTTATTGGAAATGAGAAGCCACGCAAAAAAGGATGCAAAGAAGAAAAAACGTAGACATCAAATCCGGTGAACGAACCGTGATCCGAATTTAAAACATGGAAGCAGAGAACGGGAGATGAAAAGTTGCCTTTTAGCATGCTAAAATTTATGTTTATTTCCCTTCCATTTCCGCTGAGGGCCGAGCACAAATCGATCCAAGCAGACGTAGAAAATGATGCACACAAATTCCTCGCAGAGCACGGTGGGTGGTGCCGACGCCGACCGCTATTTATTGGCTGTCTTTTAACCAATTGAGTTGATTTTTTGTATGTGATTGGTGACAGCAATGCATGTAGTCACCTACAGAAAATGAGTTCAATTGGGTGGCGTAGAACCGAGAAACAGCAGTGGGTGGACGGCACCACCTAGGCTACCGTACTCCGCGGGGAACTGCTGTATATTGCAAGATATGGTGGCAGCCGCTGCGGTTGCTATGATTATTTGACGACAGGCAAACTTGTTGATTGTGGTTTTCATTTTTTTTTTCTCCATGCAGATTCCAAGGGGCACGACAACATAGATGTACATATTGTAAAATGTAATCAAATTTTTTTAACTATCAACGAAAATATTTAAGTATTTTCAAAATCCAATATAGGGTAAATGATGGCTTTGGCGCCGATTGACTGTTTCCGGCAACCAAAATTTAAACGTTTCCCTGTATTTTCTCACCTAACGATTCCTTAGTCTTTCAGCTTCAATCTGATTATATTTTTACGACGGGGCGAACCTGTTACGTCAGGTTTTTCTTCAAATAAGCCATATGCACTAAAAAATACAACTAATTTCGAGTTGCCGATAGTAGAAGAGCTGGTTAAGACGCAGTTCAAATGGAAGGGTTTCCGATGAAAAAGAGTCTGCTGGCAATAGTCACACTCACCTGAAAAGTTTGAAGCGTTGTAAAAACGTTATCAAACCGGTTTGGACAATTCTGTCGATTGGAATGGATAGAATAGACGAGAATACGTAAACTCCCTTATGTAAAAGATGGAGCTTTTTGTGCTGGACAATGTTTTTTTTTCTAATGATGCTTTAGTTTTTAAATCAGTCAAGAAAATTTAAACATCAAAACATATTTTGATTTACTCAGCTAAGGTGTCCGCCGCCCCTGGCAAATTCTTGATTACTTCAGAGATTGCCGGGCAATAACGCTTAGGCATTCAGCATATCGATATAACAATAATATCGGGATTGAGGAGAGAGATGTGCAATTTTTCGGACAATATTTTTATGGTATATGTTATAATATATTTTCGTAAAATTCTACCACTCTCCAAAATGCATGCCATTTAGATTAATCGCCATCAAAATCAAAGAAAATGTATGTAAATTAGTGATTTTTTGTTGAAAAGAGGTCCAAAATGGGAGTTTAGCGACACAAAAGTGATTAGGGGAAACGCTCCTATAGTTGCGGTACGTTAGAAGCGTTAGGTTCCTATAGTTGTGTATGGAGTCTCCAACACAACTATAGGAACCTAACGCTTCTAACGTACCGCAACTATAGGAGCGTTTACCCTATACTAAAATAAGAACGTAAGGAGATAGAAAACTATTTCTTCAACAAAGTAGCTTGAAATCATATCAGCTAAAATTTTGCCTAAGATCATTTGTCTCAATTTTCTAAAAATAAGGAAGTTGTTTTTTTAAATATCAATAAATTATAAATTCACCTAAATATTAAAAACGACCAAACAAATATCATTTTAAAGAAAAAAAAATTTACCCAAGCACCAAACGTCTAAAACTTAAGCATTAAGACTGTCCTGGATCACTGTGCATTTTTTTCAAAAAGTAGTGAATATAAAAGAATACGAAATGACAGGGCTTTTGTCTTCCTAAATTCTCATCCTGGACCACTGTACATTTCAACAAGTACACTGAGGCAAATAAACATAAGAATTTCATAAGGCTCGACGTATGAACGACATATATGAATTTCATAAGCGTGACTTATGAATGATTTCCGTCGAACATAAGGTAGCTCTTATACGCTTTTAGCCATTCAATTTAATCAAGCATTGTCAGACGAGTGGTCCAAACACATGACCGGTAATCTCAGCGTCCATGGTTCGGTTCTAATCTGCTCCGGTTTATAATTTTTTTATCATCATTATTTTTCAAAAGGCAATCAATAAAATTCATACTGATTTCTTGTGGCTAAAATTAATAAGTGTTTCTTATGGAATTCTTACGTTCTTTTGCCGGCGTGTAGTGAATATATGTGAATACAAAATGTGTAGGGGGCAGAAATATTAACATTCTATCAAATATATCATATTAACAATATGATATGCCTTTTCTAAATGTTGCAATGGTGACCCGCAAAATATTGCTTCACGCACCATCTAGCGTTCAAAAAGGCCAGAAACAATCATTCAATTACAATCGAGGGGTGCGAATATAGCACTTATTACAAAAGTAAAAGTCGAATTATTTTCATTAACTACATTGTGTATATTACTTTAAAATTTGTCTGACATGTCACTGTTGTCATCGAATAAAATAAAATGCTGAAATACATTCATTTGAAATATTAAACAAATTTTCATTTGGTTTACCCCTCGTGACGATAAACAAATACATTGGTAGCCTTTTTCGCCAGCTAAGCGAAACAGTGGATCATATTATTAATGTAATATATTTGATTATATGTATAAATCTCTGATCGCATTCCATTTTGGGCTCGAATTTCCTCTATTAGTCACTACCAGTGATACAGAACCATCTATTTCAGTCATGCATGTCATGCTCTCCAGCTATTACATCGTCTGCTGATAGTGAGAGAACCTTTTATTTATAGATTGCCCTAATATTTGCTTCAAAAATAGATCATTACCCTCCAATAAAAGACACGAATGAACTTTGCATCTGGAATTTTTAACTGATGATCCCATTATTCCTCATACTCATCATCAGTGTCAAAAACAATTAGCAGCTCCCTATTATAGCTACCGTAAAAAGGGATGGCTTGCGACAAATAGATTGTATTAGCAACCTGGCATACCGTGCAATTAACCGGTGCTAATTTAGAATATGTTTAACTAGTACCCCAACATAGATGCGTTATGATCATCTATTTAGGGGTTCCAGTTGAACAAATTCAAAATAATGATCGTTTAATTGCAATTTTAGCTATTCAAACTAACGGGGTTCTACGGTATCATGAAGGTATGATTACAATTAACTATAGAAGACCTAACAACAGTTAACGTTGTTTTCCTGGCGATGCGATATTTAAAAAACTGTAACGAAGATTGCTAGTTAGAGTCGAGACAAGTTGAGGCCCACATTGATACAAGCACACTTAATTTATTTTGCCGAGATTTGCACAGCCGACTGCACGTCAATCTGTTTTACTGAGATCTCAGCAAAAGTGATGTTTCGTTGTTGAGTCTCAGAAATTGCTTTGCTGAATCTCAGCAAACAATGTCATGTTTATTGAGATATCAGTTAAATTGATTGCTGAGCATTCGGCTGTGCAAATCTCGGCAAAAATTCTAAGTGTGAGTATTAAAATAAGTTTTTAAGCAACAGAAAAAGCGGTTTTTGCTTAGTAGTTCTTACTGACTAATTTACTAATTTTATGGATATCCCTGTAAGATTGAATTTACGGCAGTCAATTTGCCAAGGAGTAAGTAACTCAGCACATTGTGCCGAAATTAGATTCGGCACAGCTTGGGCACATCCATTGGCACAATCTCGTATGCATTGGATTGTTGAAAATAAAATGGGAGCACTGCTGGACAACTATCATTGAAGTTGTTCACAACATAACGTGCTGTTTGACTGTATATTCAGGAACATCCTTACCGGTGGTGTGGTGATAAGCGTGACTGCTTTCTCACCCCAATGGGTCTGGGTTCAAGCCCAGCCGAGGTCGGTGGGATTTTTCTGAGGCATAAAAATCTCTGGTCACGTTTTCCTTCGGAAGGGAAGTTGGTCCCGGCCCATGTATGTTTGAATGGTTGCGATATCCTACGCAGGTGTGGAAGCTACCTTCCTGCACATTCGATTGCCGTCAATGGATGACAATCGATGTCCGTCAGTGATTGGCACTAGATTTCGGAAAACAGACCGACGTTAAATAAAAGAAAGAATAAGAAGAAAAACATCCTCTAATTGAATATACCAGAGGAACTGTAGGTTCTAGAATGGTCTCAAGAGAAAGAGGCAGTCAATCAGACCCTATTAGTACCCTTAATTCAAATAATGATGCAGCTCGCAGTAAAAAAAACTACAAAAGTCATATTCGTCATCCTCTATAGTCGGTCTTCATCAATGTTCCCCACCGGTTCCACCCAACCCACTGCCGAAAACATCAGCAGCGCTGGTGATCTATAACGTATTTAAGCTCCAACCATGTAACATTAAATCCGGCAAGGTGGCAACAAATGAAATGCCTTGAAAACAATTCTTACTTTCCCGCAATGGACAATTAAAAAATGGTTTATTTGTTTTCGAATTGACGAGCACAATTTGCGTGAATCATGCTTTCCTATAACGACATGCGGTGCGACATGTACCAAGCTTAAACCTAGAGGAAAAGGAGGAGCTGTCAAATTAGCACCAGAGCACCAGAGAAATTTGGCTTCACTCGAGTTGTTCACAGATGACAGGCGTTGCAGTCCTGTGGTTCCACCTCTTTCCGGCCGCTGATAGACCGATGCTTTTCACATCACGAAAGGCTAGGTTTCTGGTCTGCCTTTGAGGGCATTATAAAACCCTAAAACACAGGATTTTTACTATCCTATGAACACAGCACACATCCGCCACTTCCCGCGTCATCCTCAATCCGATTTATCCTTGCGATTTCAAACCAAAATATTCAAGGTGTTAGAAATACCGGGTTGACGCGAAGGGTATTTTACAAACAATCGCAGCTTGCTCTATGACCGGCACAATCGGTACACCTGCGGCACACTGACAAAAAAATGACCCAAGATTGGAGTGCGGAGTGACCTATCCCTTGGCACTGAAAAATACAGCTGATTTCGAGTTTCTGATAGCAGAAAAGCTGGTTAACACGCGGTTCAAATGGAAAGGCTTCCGAAGTGTTGTAAACACGTTTTAAACCCGTTTTGGACAATTCTGTCGATTGGAATGAATAGAATAGCAAGCATCAAATAAATGTAAACAACCAAACACGTCATGTAGGTTGAACACAAAAAAAAATCGGACACGAAAATCTTGTTGGGGTTAAAAATGCGTTTTTTTATAGTTTAATTTAACAGTTATCACACTTAGAAATTATTACCGACTTCGGTAATTTTCACCGAACTTTCAACAGTTGAACTATTCGGTAAAAATAAAGCATTTTAATTAATTAGTTTTAAGACTTCAAAACAAGGAACACTTCACCGCAATGGCTAGACTCGGCTATTTAAAGAAGGCTGACAGTGTTTTGAAAATAATATTAATTGAAACAACTTTTGAAATGAGGGTCAAAGTTTTACCGAACGTTCAGCTGTTGAAAAAATTACCGAAGTCTGTAATAATTTCTAAGTGTATACATTAGTTAGTATTATG